TACCTCTATCCCACCAGTGCTTGAAGTATTTTTTTGATCTAAAATCTCACAGAAATAAACTTTATTTTTGGCCTCTATGTCTCCCTAACTTTAATACTAATCTTGAGGATTACCAGAATATCAGCTGGTGTTTGAAAAGATTGCTAAAAAACCAACTTCAGCACTCGTAAGGAAGTGTTGTGACAAGAGGCTTAAAGAGCTCAATTGATTCAGCTTACCAAAGAAGACTGAAGGTGCTGAAACCACTGTAAGTGAACTTAGAGGAGGTTAGAAAGTCAGATGACTTTAAAGTGGTGTAAGGGAAAATGTCATGGTTTAGCCCCAGACAGCAACTAAGCACCACGCAGCCGCTCGCTCACTCCCCCTGCCCCGATGGGATGGGGGAGAGAATCGGAGGAGTAAGAGTGAGAAACACTCCTGGGTTGAGAGAAGAACAGTTTAATAATTGAAATAAAGTAAAATAGTAATAATAACAATATAATAATAAAATACAAAGCAAGTGATGCACAATGCAATTGCTCACCACCCGCCAACCGATACCCAGACAGTTCCCGAGCAGCGATCGCTGCTCCCCGGCCAACCCCCCCCAGTTTATATACTGAGCATGACATCACATGGTATGGAATAGCCCTTTGGTCAGTTTGGATCAACTATTCTGGCTGTGCCCCCTCCCAGTTTCTTGTGCACCTGGCAGAGCATGGGAAGCTGAAAAGCCCTTGACTAGCATAAGCAGTACTTAGTAACAAGTAAAATATCAGTGTGCTCTCAGCATTCTTCTCCTACTAAATCCAAACCACAGCACTACGCCAGCTACTAGGAAGAAAATTAACTCTATCCCAGCCAAAACCAGGACACAAAACAAAATCTAGAAACTGGAGTTGAAGTCAGACAAATTCAGCCTTGAAATGCAATGAAGGCTTTTCACTGCCCCCCACACCCCCCCGAGATTTTAATAACCTACTAGCATTAGCATAAAATGATGAATCCATTATTACTTGAAAACTTTACAGGTGGACCCAGTATCTTTCCAACCAATCTGTTTTGATCAGTTTCTGAGTAGTTGTCATAACATGGGCCAAGTTGTGATGCTGATTTGCATACTTGTAGTAGATTTTGCAGTTGATTATTGAGCTCTGCCAATTAATGTGGAAATACAAGAAAACAGTCTTCCATTGCTTGGGAATTGGCCATGCTTGGGCTTCCAATTCATTTATTGAGCCAGATATTAATAATGTCTTTGAATATTTCATTTCCCCCTTCCACCTTGCCATTTTTAGAGAACAGGTCATGGTAGACATTTCAATCTATTTAGACATCTCAGTACTGCAACTTTGACAGAACGAGCATAGTGTTGCATTTAACCCATGTAGTATTAAGTTAAAGATGTCCCTGCTCACTGCAGGGGTGTTGGGCTAGATGATCTCTAAAGGTCCCTTCCAACCCAAAGCATTCTATGATTCTAAGTATGGAGAATTTCACTCACATTACTAAGGCAGATAAACATCATAACAATTTGTGACTATGATTTAATGATAGAAGAAAAAACCTGTTCAAAGCTAAGGACTACCATGCAATTAGGCATTAAAATTAATAACCTAATCAAAACCCTTAGAAAACAGAGGCAAAGGAAATGCTCATTCCAGTACCACGGCATGTCCCAGTACCCAAATAAAGGAATAATCAAACAAACAATCCCAGATCATCCGATTTTGGGCTGGCAAACACAAACCAGCCAGCCTGCCTTAAGCAAAGTGCGACTCTAGAAAAGCTCAGAACAACTTGTCAGGAATAGTTTTAATGCATTTTCTTTCACATACTTTTGTAATTTTATTCTCAAGAATGAAATGCTGTTTACAACTTTAAATCCTGTAGACACACAGGGCAGACTCCAGAGGAAAGAACAAAGATTGACAGGGAGAGAAGAAAGAGCAAGTGGGTGAGCATGACACAGGGAGAGAGCAAGATACCAAAACTCAGGGATGTGTGCAAACTAAGTGCACAACTGAGACTCAAGAGTGCTCCCATCTGCAGCATAAGACAGCAGTTCATCAGGGTAGTCTCTATCAGCATGTAGAGACTCCTCTCTGGTGCCTGACTAATACACCCTGTCACAGTGCCTGGAGCCAAAGGCTGATGAAAACTTCTTGCCATCTATCAGCCATATAGTTTGTTCAATTAGAGAGTGCAAAACCAGCTGGTCTTATAAACATGGGGAAAAAGTCCTCAAGCCAAACTAACTCCAGTACTGTACAAGAAAAGCATCACTCTTAAATGCATAATATACTCCAAACATTACCATTATTTTCTCTCTTGCTGTTAAAGAACAAGTGGAAAAAAGCACTCTATTCAACAGTACTATCAGACAAAAAGGCAAAAAAGTGTTCATGCAACTGTCAACTGAAGACACAGCAGCTTATACCTCTGAAGTGATGAAACGGGACACTTTTTTTTTTTTGGATGCCTGTAAGTAAAAGTGTCACAAAAATATAACCACTATTTTTAAACTGGCTCTGGTAGAAAAAGTTTCCACCTATGTCAAAGGTTCATCTGGTGCAAGTACAGTTTAGACTATGACAGCTGGTAATAAAATCTCCAAGATCTCTTAGCTAACTTTTAAAATTGCAAATGAGTTGATCCTTAGTTATACTCAGTCATCGTCTTCATCATCTACAGTAGGTGCCAGGATTCTGGTCCAATCTTAGCTGCTACACTTAAAAGAAGAGGTGCTGGACAAGGGCTTTTAAAATTACCTGTGGTTAGTTTAGTTCTGACTTAGTCGAGTACAACATTTGTATTTTTGCCATCTCTTTCTCCCCCACACACCATCAGATTTGGATACCACACAAGGTATGATTCATATTATTCTTTAGAAATGTATTTTAATAGGCAAGCTTTACAATTGAAAGAGCATTTGGGTTTTGAAAATATCAAGCCTTCACTGAAAAGCATGTCAGATCACTTTATTGCACGCATTTTTTCTACAGCAACTTTTCCTAGTCACATTTAATTATTGCTAAGACGGATTTTTCTTAGTTGATATCGTAATCTAGTATATTTCTTTGAAGGAAAACAAATTCATCCACCTCATACTACCAAAACACAATCTACGCAGTTCTCTTCACAGAATTTCCTTCTCATAATTTTGGGGTAATGGAAGGCATGGAGGCTAAGAGGAGGAACTCTCCTCACTGAAGGCAATGCCTAGTAATTTCCTGCCATCCACCTGTATATTCTTAACATCTACACAAACACTACATGAAAACACATAGGGAATAAGTGTCCACTGTAATACATACCCAGGCTAAACTGGCTTTCAGGTATTTACGTAGGGATATGTAAGCAACCAATTTGAATGCAAAGCTGACTTCTGCCAGCACTAATGGAAATTAAATGCAATCGGGGTGGAGGTTAAATACATCTTAAGAATACTTTTGAATCAGTTACTTCAGCATATGCCAGTCTGTCACTAAGTACTGTAAAATTATGTTAAAACTACAGGAATTAACTCCTTGCTTGGAATCAAATTATAATCTCACCCTTCCTAACACCTTCTGAAAATTCCTTTAAATACATAGAGTTTTATGATGAGCAGTATCAGTACACAAACCAACAAACCGAACAAAAAAGCTAGAAACACCTGCATCCACTTTTTTAAAAAGAGGAACATTACTGAAAATATTTAGAAATATTAAGAGCAGCATTACTGAAAATAATATACACCAACCTTCTCAAAGGCTGTCTCAGCATCATCTTTCTTTATGTTTGGCCTTCTATTCTTAGTTAGATATTTTGGGTTTAAACTACAGCATGTAAAGGTTTCCAATTGAAAAAATAATGAGAATCAGGATTAAGTACTACTGGCTAAAGAGATAGATATTACTGAATTAGATTTTTTTTTTTTTTTTGAAAAGCTTTACTAGCCTGAAATCATGTGATATCGTAGAAAATTTCCCTCATGGCTTAGAAGTCTGTACCTTATTCAGACAGCAAAACCTCCATTTCGCAAACCCATTTACGTGATTTCTATGAAAAGACTTAAAAAAACCCAAACCCATCTGAGAACAAACAACTTGGTTACCAACCAAACAAAATGCTGTGAGTGAACTACTTTTCTTGATACATACTTTTTGATATTTATACAAACCTTGCCATCTGCTATGATCTCTGACAAAATAACTGACTTCCGTTCTCAATCTAAGGTTTCAGTATGACGGTAAATGTCTTATGTCTAACATTAAAAGTTACTTCAGTCCCACTGCAAGATTGTATAGGTTTGTATGGTCATTAAAACCTGTTATAAAGTAGCATCAGACTACTCAATACTATGAATAAAGGACTTCTTTGATAGTTACAGGTGCAAAACTTAAATGTAAATAGATTAAAATGTTTCAAAGACTTAACAGAGCAGAACTGTTTAATTTACACAAATTATGTATAAGCTTTTAACCATACTTAATTCCAAACTTCATCATGACCTTAACACTATAAAAACTAAGGGACACTGAAAATTTGTAAGGATTCCAAGGAATAGATCTGCTGAGAAAAATAGAGCACTGGTGTATTAAAACAGAAAAAATATTCAAAGCTAGTTTTGGATTGTAAAGTATACAATTAGAGGACAAAGGTAAGAACTAGATGCAAGACCTATGCCCACTAATTTCACCTTATAATGCCAACAAGAAAAGAAGCCTGCACAGTGGTTGATGGAAACATGTTGCTCCTGAAATGTTTGACATAGACCTTTCAGAGGGCATTTTTACACACTTACAGCATAATGAATGGTAACTACCTATTAGAATAAATACAGATTACCTATTAGAATAAATACAGTCTATTTTGTCTTTGCTAATTCATATAATTCAAGGGTCCAGCAAAGATGAGCATACAAAGTTTTATCATACTATTAGAAAAGGGAACATATAATTCTGAAAACAGATTATGATATATGACACATCAGTGGATGAGTTTGGTAAAAGTGATTTTATTTCATTGTCTCCTACCTGATAAATTCTAAATGGGATGTATCGAAATCCACTGTCTTCTGGAGGATACTCCATGAGTTTTCGATTTATTGCCCAAAACTGCTCAAATTTATCTGTGAAAGTAAAATTAGATTTTGTTAATATTAATAGCATATATTCTTTTTCAGCTAAGAGGTAAATGCAACATGATTGGAACAACATGCAAATTTCTCTTACAGAAGTTTGACCTGTATGACTCTATATTCCCTGCATCTCTTTTCCCTATTTAGCCTTAAGCCAAAGGTAAGTCATCTGCATTCTCCTATGAAAACAGTGATGTGGCAACTTCTCGAACTGAAAGGGAAAGCAACTTGAATTCATATCGTATGACTATCTTAATCATATCATAATTCACTGTTAGGGAAATATTGGGCCACAAATTATGGATTTTATTACCTCAATTCACAGTGCCTGTTTCTCCACTCCCTGCTGCTACTGGTCCACACTGTCTTACAGTTTGTTAAAACCATCTAATTGTTCTTAACTATAGATGAACAATAGGTGCAAAGTGTAGAGAAACTAAAGCAGTAGAAAAACTTCTTGCAGGGTTTACATTTGGATATGTAAATCTTAAAATAATCTGCAACAGTGTACAATACAATCAGAAAATATAGTGCCAGTTTCATGACACAACCTGAAAATAAAAAGTTTATGTTTGAAAAACATTTTTGTTAATATTATCCAAGTAACTAGGTTTAGTAAAGTAGCCCGAGGCAGCACACTATTTCATCCTGTTCAGACATTATAAGAACTGTATAGTTTATTGCGCTTAAAATGTATTAAGGACAGCATAGGTCTAGAGCATTAAAGGCTTTTATACATGCAAATCAATTATTCAAAATCAAGCAAACAACCTATACCAAAAGTGACAGAAAGAAACATGAAGAGCGAAGATGACTAAAGCTGCTGCTAGCCTTACTGGAGAAAGCAGCTTTAGAAGGGGAAAGAGCAAGGGATAAATTTGCTTGTAGGCCTTAACTCCCCAAGACACCAAACACAGCAGACGCTTCTTCAGAAGGAACGCACAGACTCCAATGTTCCCTCCTCGGCACAATGTTCAGCCGACTCTCAAGAAGCCTGGCAGTATAACCGTTACAGAATTCAGCCCCCCTGGAGCAAGGTAAAATTCAGAAATCTATTCATGGAACAAAGGTTCTCCCTGCTTCCAAAACTGCTGATAAGAATTAAAGCAATCGCAGAAAATTAAGAGAGCCTGAGATTTGCTTCACTCCAGTGTACAGCACAGATGCCTGTCAGTGCACTAAAAGACACAGTTAATATATATTGTGGGGTTTATAACACGTTGCTTTTCCTGACTGAATGTGACACAAGACAGGAATTTCCAAGAAACCGTAAACAAACTCCTGCCAGGTATTCTGTAGGAGAATTTCCTGATACTTATCTCAGAAAGTACTTCCACACCCTTGTTTCCTGATTAGCAGCAAGCACCTCTTGACAAGCACTTACCTGAGCTGCAGCCAGCACCACCAGGCAGGCACCTGCCCGAGATGAGGAGCTGCCTGGATGCAGGGTGCTACCCCAATAGCAGGGTGCTACCCCAATAGCTAACCAGCTGGGAAGCTCAGCAGGCAGCAGTGACAGTGACAACCCTGGAGCTGACTGTACCCAAGCAAGCCTACATTTGGCAACCCCAGCCTACAGAGTCAGAGGTTTACTCTTTACAATGTCTGACACAAAGAACGACTGCATCCTCCTCACCAACTCTGTTCAGTGGGAAGGTGAAGATTTAGCATACTTCCCTCATCCTTGGAGACAGCACTGAGAACAGCTTACAGCTTTTCACTACAGATTGTGCGGACAGGCATCCTACAGTAGGCATTAATCGATTTATACTTCAATTACCACTTGTGACTATGAACTCAGTTGATAAAAGTATTAATTATGGTGATACACAAAACAAGCAAGACCTACTTAAGCTAGTGAGCTTCAGCAGACTCTTAAATAAGGAATCTACATATTTGGACACTTCCTACCTGAACAAAAATAAAACAAACATTACTTTCATTTACTTGTTTAATGCTCATATTACAGTAACTAGGAAAGTTGGGTAAACAGCTTACTCTCTTCAAAATTCGAGAGAGATGAGCAACACATCTTATGGATCAGAAGAACAAGAAATTCTGAACAAGTAACAGACTTACGGTAGGAGCTTAAGTATACTGTCCCTTGCGGCATATATGGCAAACAAGTGAATCTTTGAAGGACAAAAAAAGGACTTAAACAGTGGTAGTAATGTACAGCTAACTCGCTTCTGTTCTTCATTCCAGCTTCCTCACCTCCCGGAAATCATGCAGGTAATCTTATTTAAGGCAGGTAAATTTACAGATTTATACCTCTCAGATTATTCTCTGGACACTCAGACAATGCTCAAGACAATCTATTGCTATATCAATATTTTTAAATTTCTAGTAGTTCAGTAATTTCAGTTCAGTTCTAGTAAATTTCAGCAATAAATCTGCAACAGTGGAATGACAAACTTGTTGCATTTTGTAATCAAGTACGTTCTGTCAATCCACCTGATAACCCAGGGAATGAAAAAACTTTCTAGTAAATTAGCTAGACATAATGGAGTCAGACATCTTAAGACACATCTCCACCTTGTGTACAGCACTGTCTGAAGACATCTAAGCTAATTAATCCTCATAATTTTATACTGCTGTCCTCCAAACATCTTTCCATGCACGCCATATTTTCACTACAGGAAACTGAGCTGGGTGTAAGAAAATTAACACAAATTAAAGCAAGCAGCAGGAAAAGGCTCTCCAGTTTGCATACTGGTATTATGACCTGGCAAGAGCTTTTATTAGCATCAGGAGTGTTGGCTAAGTGCCAGAATCCAAAAGCTCCAAAACACAAAATCCAAAAATAACTGCTTTCACAGAGCCCTTAAGACTCAAAGGTTAAAACAAACAAAAAACCCAACACCACCCAACATCCCCCCCGCAATCCCCTCAAAAATATAAGTGAAAGAATTCATCATTCTCCCGGTTTTGTGTGTCAGTACCTCCTATTTATGCAAAACAGACTTAAGGAAGCTATTAATGCTATGATGAGCTATAAGAACTAATTAGTGCTTTGGCTAGACAGGACTTAAAGACAGAAGGTGCTGGCCGGAAGTTTGACAATCAAAACAAAACTGAGTTTTCATCAAGCCAGTAAACAAGGAAGAGTTCTCTACCTATCCGCAAAAGCACTTTACACGCTCATCTCCCTCCCTCGTGAAAAGCTTATGCAGTCTGCATGATATCTAAACTCCCGTAACAGTCAAATCTGATTACTTTTGTTTTCCACAATCCATCTGTTTTTAAGAAAGTGCTTGACCGATGTGTTAAAGAGTTTCTGTATTAGCAAAAAACAGTACTTGCAGAAGGCAGATGTTCACATCTGAATAACAATATTTAAATTAATGGCAGTAAGATTTGAACAGAAGCAAGATTAGTGACAGTATAAAAGTTTCAGATGACTCTACTAATCATGTTTCTTAAACAAGAGAGGATGGGTGCTATATAACTTTGCCTGAAGTGACATATAAAAAAAGCTTTTCTCCCTGTATTTTATGTCAAAGATCAGAAAGTTAATAACAAAATAATGGGGGAGAGATCCAGCTGGAAAAAAAAAAATCTATCAGCCAAATCACTTATATTTCTAAATACTCATTTATTAGAAACACAGTCACTGCAAGCCCAAACACCAGACATTCTTAGCCTTAAGTACTACAGAGATGCACAGAATCTAAAGACAGCTTTGTAAATACATATTTACATATACAGAAATAGTAAGAGTTGGCAAAATTACAAGGACTTGATGTCATCCATAACAATAATCTCAGCACACAAATTAAGCAACAAATTAAACCCCAAACATAAATTAACAAATAGAGCATGCCACATTATGTATTTAACATTCAGAAATCTATCACTGAAATTGTTCATGCTTTTAAAGCGTCCTTTAATACAGTTTAAAATAAGACTGTTACAGGGAAACGCTTGGAGAATTGTCATTTCCTCCATTAAGCAAGACTGGAGATCCTTTAGCAATCACTGAAATGAATCTAAATTTATAACTGTTACATTAAAAAGTTGTTAGTAACTCCAGTCATAGCTTGTTCTTAATAGACAGTAACTGCTGAACCTTTTAATATTACAGTTTTAACTAAGGTTTAGTCCAGGCTGAAATTTTCAAGGCTGGGCCTCTTTCTCAGGGTGAGACCCGGGGGCAGTGTTTTTCAGACAACCAGAAAAATTAAGTTTCATTCGTGCTAGCGTCTTACAGTCATTCTCTGAAACTCAAGTGCTGTCACGCTTCAAACAACTTGAAATTTTGCATGGATCTTGATGTTAGATGTGTCTCTTCCACCCACCTGACTCTACGAAAATGGTAACCAGGATGGATCACCGAGAGGGTAAAGGGCACTGCTCGAGTGGTTGCAATCAACATATGCATTTCAATGCAGCATAGCTTTAAATCAGCATACACAAACAATATGACAAATTATTACAGAATGAGAAATTGTAGCTACAAGTAACTTGCAATAAGACACAGTGGTCACAGAATATGGCCAGTTAAAATGGAGTTCCCACTGTAGAACAGTGGGCAAAAATTAAAACCACCGCCCTAATCTTTCAACTTAAAAGAAATATCTTAGTAATAAGGAAATAATTTGTTTCTGTATTTGACACTGATGCAACTACTATCAGAGTATGACAGAATTGGATATATTTCAAGAAGACTATGGACAGGGTTTAAATAACCGACAGAACTAGTGCAAAAACAAGGGAAAGTGTTTAAATTCAAAAACAAAATGGTAATTCATGGCTTTTATCTTCCAGTATCTTTTTAGAAAGTCAAAAAGGCGAACAAACAGGTATAGCCTTCAGGGTAGCATATACGCATGATTCTTTTGTCTGGACTATTAATGGTTTCTTCTTAAAGCCATCTAGTTGTACAAATTAAAAAAAAAAGATTTGAATTGAATTGCATTTCTAGCTCTATGCAAGCAATACCAACTTGCAGCTTGCATAAAAATGTGTCCAATCCATGAGTTTAAAAAACA